CGACCCGTCCAGGGTGTACCCGGCCCCTCGCACAGTGATTGCTGGACATGGGCACCGGTGACCCCCATGACCCAAAATGGAATAAGCGGGTAAAGATAATGGATGGATGTTCAGTAGTTTATTGTTACCTTGGAAAGTTATTCACAAAAATCCTTTCAATTTTGGCTGCTGTAGCACTTTCAAATAGTTTTTTTAAACCATTTACCTCTTACATAACTGACATGCAGTGTTCCCTCAGTGCAGACTGAACTAGGCCAAAGGGCCTTCTCCTACTCCACTCCTGTTTCCTGGAATATCTTACAAAAAGATCTGAAACTCTCAACCTTGACCTCTCTCACTGACTTTAAACATCTGTGAAGTTCATGGCAAAAACCAATGCAGACATGTTCCTGTTTCTAGTATTTTAAAGTGTTTTATAATGTAGCTGTTTTTCTTTTTTGTTTGTTTGTTATTTATGTCATTGCTTCCATTTACTTTTCATTTTACATGCTTTCTATGATGTTGTCATCTTTGTTCTACAACAGGTCTCTCTTGTAAATGAGTCTTCGAGGCTCAATGAGACTAACCTGTATAAATAAAGGTTGAATTAATTGAATTATCTAATAAACAACAAGGCATAAAAAGGCTTACTGTATAAATTTAGGAGATGGAATAGTTTGTGACAACGCATTACGGACAACTCAGCAAAGAACCAAAGTCAAAGTGACTGTTTAGGCAATTTTGCTATCATCAAACTTGAACAAGGATACAAATTGTTCTAATTTATTTTGCTGCATCAAAATGTACCAAAGATAGCAGTTTAAGAGATAAAATGATTTTCATTATTATTCACCACCAATAAGGTGATTCCCTTCAGAAAGCCAGGAGAATTCAAAGTATTTACAAAGACCCTAAAAGATTCTAAGAAAGTCTGCCTTCTTGGAGGTGAACTAGAAAGAAATGAGGGAATTTAAAAACTTTTTCACAGAGCTGCACTTTTAACCAAATTCTAGCATTTGGATACAATAATTGAGGGTGCAAAAGAAGGTGGTTGTTCCTTTTGTGGCAGCCATCATTGAAACTAGTGGTGAACACCCTAAATAAGAGAGGCCATAGCTTCTCTAGGGGGTCTGGGGGTCCTCCCCCAGAAAATTTTGAATAAAGTATATGCAATTTCCTGAATTTTGGTGTATTTTAACAGGTTGTTACCTACATTTTTAAACACTCCGCTTCTGTGTTCTATCACGCTTCTGAGATGCCAAGATGGTCACGCTCAGCCGGGCCTCAGCTGCAGGCTCCCTGTGAGAACTCGGTTTTTGTCTGTTTTGAAATCGACTCTGAGCTCGACTCCACTCGCTTTAAGCGTGTGAATTAGCCGAGCCAAACTTATTAGTATAAGAGAAGGTTTGACTCTGGATACAGCAGCGATCAACAACAATCTGAAAACTTGGCTCAGCAGATTGTAGCTTCTACGGACATCAGCATGGAGGCAGCAGAGCACTAATGGGTCTTATTTACCCTTTTTAAGCAACAAGTTACCAGCAAAAAATAAATAAATTAATAATATATATATATATATATATATATATATATATATATATATGAGGTGTTGTGACCAGGGAAAAAGCCAAGCCTGGGGCATACATTTTTGTCTAGCTTTTTTTTTGGTTGTTTTTTTTGTAAAGTATTGCAGTTTTCCTAAATGGGCGATATAATAGGCAGCTGCCCAGGGTGGCATTTTGTCAAGGGTGGCACGAGCACACACACACACACCCCACCCCTACCCTACTACAGATCTACAAAGCTAATCTGAACAAATCATTCTAAAGAGACTATAATCAGTGCTTGATCACATTCATACACCGATGGGACACACATCGGAGGCAATGAGGGGTTCAGTGTCTTGTCCAGGGATGCTTCAACATTTGACTGCTTGTGGAATCAAACCTCCAGCTCTCCCACTGGAGGGGGGTCTGCTGTAGCCACTCAGCCACAGCTGCCACAGTGCAGCTTCCATTTCTATTCAATTCAATTCAGTTTTTCATGTAGCACCAAGTCACAACAGAAGTCATCTCAGGGCACTGTACAGAAAAAATATTGCAGAAAGTACTTTTGTCATTATTATTTGTCATATTTTACTATGTTTATTTTTTAATACATGGGGTGTACTTATATAGCGCCTTTCTATCTTATTTCAAGATACTCAAAGCGCTTTACACTACAATCTGTGTCCTCATTTACCCATTCATACAGCACTCTACTAGATCTCTACAAAGCTAATTGAACAAATCATTCTAATGAGACTAATCAGAGCTTTAGATCACATTCATTCACAGATGGGACACACATCAGAGGCTATGAGGGATTCAATGTCTTGCCCATGGACACTTCGACATGTGACTGCTGGTGGATTCGAACCCCCAACTCTCGCACTGGAGGACGACTGCTCTAACCACTCAGCCACAGCCGCCCCTTTTCCCAAGAGTTTACCTGTACTATAACTTTTGGCTGCCACGTCCTAACATGCTTTTGCTCTGCAGCTATGATCTTCGCATGGACATCTACTGTATACAATGCCTGGAAGCTCTAACAAGAGAAAATTAGTTTGGACTCTATATACCGGTAGTTCACAGAAACATAAATATTTGTTTGTAGGCTAACAATACCACCACAGATATCCAGTACCAGTAGTGACCAACAAATAGCAAACCAGCCAGAGCAATGACCTGGTTGGCACAGTGGCACAGTTGGTAGAGCTACCGCCTCTCAGCGAGTAGGTCACCATGGACCTTTCTGAGTGGAGTTTGCATGTTCTCTCCATGCATGCGCGGGTTTTCTCCGGGTACTCCGGCTTCCTCCCACAGACAAAAAACATGCATGTTAGGCTGACTGGTAACTCTAAACTGTCCCTAGGTGTGAGTGAGAGAGTGAATGGTTGTTTGTCTCGTTTGTCTCCATGTGTCCCTGGGATAGACTGGAGACATGTCTAGGGTGTCCCTCCCTTTTTACACAGTGATGGCTGGACATGGGCACCAGTGACCCCCTGCAATCCGAAAAATGAAGAAGTGGGTAAAGATGATGGATGGATGGATGTTGAGCGTATATCTTAGATCCTTTTATACTGTTTATTTGATATTTTGGCTATTTTGGGGTGTAACTAGGTCCTTGAGTACACAATTTTGTTCCACCTCGTGTACCACATGTGATATAAATGACATTAAAGAACGTTGAACCTTAAACCTGAACAGGGCATTCAATAATTCAGCTAGGAAACCTGGACAACACGTGAACAATGGAAGAAGGGAACTGAAAGTCAAAAAGGAACACACACCAAGAAAAGGAGAGTTGTCTCAACATCTCACTGCACTTCAAATCAAACACCTTCACATCCCAAATAGTAAATACCCAAACACAAGCCGAGCAGAGTGGTGTATGCAGTTTACTGGAGTGAGGGGTATTCAGACATTTCAATTGAAGAAGCAAAACAACCTCATCATAAATAAAGGCCCAACACTGAAGCTCTACATGTGAAGTTCATAATGTTAGAATGCTCATTTGAGGACATTAACATTTGGGACAGAAAACGTGGTTTGAGGGGGAATTTTGAAGATAGAATTAAACTAGAAAAGCAAACATTAAACAAAGGAGGTATCTTCATCATTTATTCAACACCCACAGTGCAGGCTTGACCCTTCTACCTAGTCCTGTTTAAAACCATTTAGACCTTCGAACATTAGACAAAACACTTTATATGTTGGTTATCTTGTTAAAAACCCAAGAAAAGATGGTCAGAAACTTGTGATACTCTACTTTTGTGTACTAGAATGTTGTGGAAATTTATTAACTCTTGGGCATTGATCGATACAATTTTATGTTGTGAGAAGAGTTTGTGAGCTGTAGTATTATTTTAAGAAGAGAAAACAATAACCAATTTTCATATCATCTCAGAAATAGTATCACTGGAAGTCTAATCCATGTGTGGTCAAACACTGAAATACAATACTGGGGTTTTAAAACTTTGCATTACTGCAGTCAGCATCACTAGAGAGACATTCAAAAATTATATTGGAAGCATTACAAGCTCAGTTCTGAAAAAAAAATGCATGTGTCAAATGTAAAAACAAACAGAATGTAAATAATTTGCAAATATGGCAATGGTACCCTTTTGTGTTATCTTTCTGTCCTGTTCTTTTTCTTCTTCTTCTTTGAGATTTTTTGGCGGTTGGCGAACAACAAATGTTTCTGTCCTGTGTTTCTGTCCTGTTTTCTCCCTGCTCTCCCCCTCTGTCATCACTCCCTGCCTCCCTGCACCTGTGACGCTCCACAGGTGTCGGCACTTGTCTCATTAGTGTGTTTGTATTTAAGTCTGTTTGTCAGTCCTGTTCATTGTTGGTGCATGGTTGGGTAATTTCTCGTCTTGTCCTGGAATTTCCCAAGAGTTTACCTGTACTATAACTTTTGGCTGCCACGTCAGCACATTTATTTATGTTATTAAAGAGTATTTTGATTTTAATCTGCCTGGTTTATGGATTGTGTTTCTTAGTGTCCAGCTTCCCCTTGTGGTTTGTTTTAGTTCCTACTCTCGTGCTTTCTCCTTACCCCTCTGCCATCAGCTTGTTTCCTTCACAGCTGTTTCTGTTTTACCATTGTTAGTGTCTTGTATTTAAGTCTGAGTCCTTGTGTTTCTCTTTGTCTGGGCATTGTTCTTTGAATGGTGATGGTTCCTGGTCCGTCTATTTCCTACGTGTTTCTTACCTAGGTAAGTTTTACTGCCTCATCAGCTTATTTTGTTTATTAAATTAGTGATAGTGAGATGAGAAGCACTGCTATCCATCAAATAGCTCGACTTATGATCCAACGCACCATGGTGCTTCATTTGCTCTACTGTGCCATCAAGTGGACTATAAATGTAAAACAGATAGTAACACAACTGGTTTGTGAAGCTTTAAGTTGAATAAAAGAATAAAATTAAATGTTTGTGAGGACCTGAAATAAAGTCTAAATTTGATAGGCAAATGATCTTAATCTGTCTTTATGATGATGGTGATGATGAATTTTTCTGTCTGCCCCTTATATTTTGAATCTTACACATACAAACGAGCCAGTTCCTGAATCGGTCACTTGGTACGGCCCGCTAGCGAGGCCTCGAATGTCACTACATGTATCAGCAATACATGCCTCGATACACGCTCCACATAAATCCTCCTGGATTACTCAACACACGCTTCAAAGCCTCGACACAGAAGGACGCATCACTAGTTTATTAAATAGATTCTTTATTATTATAGTGCTCTGAGTTCCTGGGGTCTTCCTGCAAATGGGTTTTAAGAGTCAAAAATCATCACACCTGGTCTCTGAGTTCTGTCTACACCACTGTCCTGTCCTGCCAGAAACCCTGACAGTAGGCACCTATCATACAAGAACCCAGCAGGCAGGTGGTATGAGGCTTCACTCACCTGTCTGAATGAGAGAGCGCAGATGGAGGAATCTGTGATCCGGTGGGGCAGGTTCTGGACTGAACCCGTCTGGACACGAGGACACCACATCCAGACGATGGAAATACTGCCTTCACCGCTTCTCGTCGAAGAAGAGGAAAGAAGGAGGTCTTAGCTCTGGGCAAGCCGCCTGGTGTCCAAGCCCAGTTTCCCCTCCTCTCCATTGCCTCGCTCACACAAATATTCTGGATGGATGTTGGGGGAGGACGCAGAGCCAGAGGACAAGCTCTGGTTCGCTCCTGTCCCTGACCTACACCGCCGTCGCAGGAATGGCTGAAGACGGACCTGGAACCGGTCCACTGTACTTCTGCCGCCGCGTTCTGAACACTCAGCCTTTCCTCCTCAGCCCGGCAAGGCTTAGTTTCATGGATTCTCACCCAGTGAGGGCTGGTTCTGATGCATCACCTCTCAAGGTTCTGGTGAGGGTTGGACCCGACACCTCATTATCTGAGTTTGCTACAGAGGGCCCCACATTGGCAGTAGGCTCCTCTAACCTCATCAGATTAAACATTACCCTTCAAAATATGTTCTCATCTGCTGCACTCAAGCCAGACTGTTAGAACATTACTTACTCCCTAACTGAAAGACTATTATTGTCTCAACCTGGACTAATCCAGATCCCAGAGTACTATTAGCTACTGGTTAAAATAAGGACTCTTAAGAAACAATATGAAAACCCACCTCCATTTCTCCCGATGGGTGTCATCCATGATCAGGTTCCTGAGGGCCCCATGCTCACTGCAGTCCCTGTGGTGGCTCCCACACCATTCACAGTCCCCGTAGTTCCTACACCTACTGCGTTCTCCATGCTGTGTGAGGGTCCTACTTGTCCTATGAGTCCCAAGGCTCCACCAGGGGGTCTCTACATCTCCTGACTCGACAGCCACAGACTCACCTGCTGCAGATCCTGACCCTCCAGCTGCAGACTCAGCTCTCAACTTGACAGCTACAGCGCCTGAGGTCCCTACGCCACCTGCAGCGCCTCGCCCTGAGGGTTCCACGCCTTTCCTCGAGGGTTTCACACCGCTCCAGGGTTCCACACCTTGTCCTGAGGGTTCCACATCTCAACCTGATGTTTTCACGCCTCTCGAGTGTTCCACGGCATCCACAAACCCAACTTCTGACCTGACAGCTGCAGCACCTAAGATGGCTGTGCCCCCTGCTGCAGCTCCTGAAGCAGCTACATTCCAAAGCCTGGTTCCCACGACAACTGCAGCCACCCCAAGTCCTACTGAACTATGTCCTGACCTGAACTTTTTCTCCACCTATGGTGGTCATGGTCCCTCCATGTGTCTATCACCATCAGCTGTCCACAGAACCTGCTGACATGTGATGGACGGTCGCCCGGCCGCCCACCTGAACTTTGTCCCAGCGATGGACGGTCTCCTGGCTGCACCCCGGAACTATCGTGCCCTGAACTCTGTCCTGGCTAGAGATGGTCACCTGACTGTCTGGATGTTTTTGTATTTCTTGTGTGTGTTTAGTCTAGATCTCAGGTTTCACCCTGCCGTTTTTTTTTGTTCTGTCTTCATTATTTCCTTGGTGCCCTGCATCCTCGCGGTTCCCCCATCCTTCCACCCAAGTTTTGGGGGGTGGATTTTTTGGAGATGTCAGGGAACATCTTTAGGGGGGAGAAGCTGAATCTCTCAGATAAAGAGACTGATGCTTTCAATGATAGGGTCCAATTTTTCTTAATTACATTCACATGTCTTGAAGATAGACTGTTTTATTATTGTTAGGGAAATTATGGTAAAAAGTTATGGATGTTTATTACTATGGCTGAGAATCTTATTTCTGCCCATGAATCATATGTTTGGGTTAGAGGAGAGAGCTGGATGAGGAACTGAATGAGGCTGCAGTATGCAGATGGCAGCTGAGGACACCTCCAGGTTCTGTGAAATCGGCTGAACTGATAAGGATATAAAAGCAAGCTGAGAAGGCAGCTCAGTGCAGCTTCTCGTGACTGGTCTTCATGTGTGTACTTTATGTATATTTAAGCACTTTGGTAACATTTTCTGTTTTAAATGTGCTTTATAAATATGGTCAAAAATATTTTCCTGCCATCAGGTGTGGTTCTTTTTGAGTAAGTAAGATAAGCAAGAATATTTTTCTACAATAATCATAAACCAATCAAATGTTTGAAATTAAAAAAGGTGCTGTAATGGTTAAAAGAAGAGATTGTTAGAAAAAAGTTCATAAATTAGAAACAGTGGATCCAGATCAAACTCATTGTTTGTCAGTTGCATGTATTATCTGTTCTGTTTTTCTTTATTATGTCCTTGAATAAAATTATAGAGCTAAGCCTTGTCAGAAACACAGAAACTAAATCAGCACAGCCATAAACCAAAAGGATAGAAAGCACTCAAACTACAATTTACTGTTCAAATGCAATAAAACTTAAAGTGGTGTTTGAAAGATTCTGAAGCCTTTAGTATTTTCTGTATTTTTACATAAATATGATGTAAAACATCGTCAGATTTTCACACAAGTCCTAAAAGTAGATAAAAAGAACCCAGTTAAACAAATGAGACAAAAATATTGTACATGGTCATTTATTTATTGATAAAAATTATACACTATTACATATTTGTGTGTGGCAAAAGTATGTGAACCTCTAGGATTATCAGTTAATTTGAAAGTGAAATTAAAGTCAGGTGTTGAAACTGGAAAAGGTTATAAAACCATCTGTAAAGAGTTTGGACTCCATCAATCTACAGTCAGACCGATTGTGTACAAATGGAAATAAATTCAAGACCATTGTTACCCTCCCCAGAAGTGGTGGACCCATCAAGATCACTCCAAGAGCAAGGAGTGGAATAGTCAGCGAGGTCACAAAAGACCCCAGGGTAACTTCTCAGCAACTGAAGGTCTCTCTCACATTTGTTAATGTTCATGAGTCCACCATCAGGAGAACACTGAACAACAATGGTGTGCATGGTAGGGTTGCACTGCTCTCCTAAAAGAACATTGCTGCTCGTCTGCAGTTTGCTAAAGATCACATGGACAAGCCAGAAGGTTAGTGGAAGAATGTTTTGTGAATGGATGAGACCAATATATATATATTTTGGTTTAAATGAAAAGCGTTATGTTTAGAGAAGAGAAAACTCTGCATTCTTACATAAGAACCATATCCCATCTGTGAAACATGGTGGTGGTCGTATCATGGTTTGGGCTTGTTTTGCTGCATCAGGGCCAGGGCGTCTTGCCATCATTGATGGAACAATGAATCTGAATTATATCAGAGAATTCTAAAGGAAAATGTCAGAACATCTGTCCATGAACAAGAGAAGGTGGATCATGGAGCGAGACAATGACTCTAAGCACACAAGTGTTTCTACCAAAGAATGGTTAAAGAAGAATAAAGTTCATGTTTTGGAATGGCCAAGTCAAAGTCCTGACCTTAATCTAATCAAAATATTGTGGAAGGACCTGAAGCAGCAGTTACTGTGAGGAAACCACCAACGTCCAGAGGTGAAGCTGTTCTCTAGAGGATCGGGCTAAAATTCCTCCAAGTCTGAGTGCAGGACTGATCAACAGTTACTGGAAATGTTTAGTTGCTATTGCTGAACGGAGAGGGGGGGGGGGGGGGGGGGGTGGGGGGGGGGGGGGAGGGGGGGGGGGGGGGCGGGGGTGCGATACCAGATACTGAAAGCAAAGGTTCACATACTTCTATGTTTTATGTAGTTTATGGATCAATTACCTAAAAAATTAAATGAGCAAGTATAATAATTTTGTCCCATTTGTTTAACTGGGTTCTCTATTTTTAGGACATGTGTGACAATCTGATGATGTTTTAGATCATATTTATGCAGAAATATAGAAAATTATAAAGTGTTCACAAACTTTCAAGCACCACTGTACATTGGCAGTGACTCTTTCGAGGCTGTCACGAGTAACGAGCAGTGTTTTCTTTTGAAGGAAGTGAAGCCTTGCTTATACAGCAGTTTCATTTTTCCTGCAGACACCACTGAAGAAACACATTCTCACAGCATGAACTGCACATCTGAGCCGTCTCCTTCAGAGGCCCCTGAGGAGGTTGATGGGGCGGCAATAGCAGCTTGTGTGATCCTGGGCCTTGCCTTCCTGATCGGAGCTCCAGGGAACCTCCTCGTGATCTGGGTTATCCTGAGATACATCAAGCAGCGCTTTCACACTGTGGTTCTCCTCCTGCATCTGGCGGTGGCAGACTTACTGACCCTCATCACCCTGCCTCTGTGGATCTACTCCCTGCAGCGCACCTGGGTGTTTGGAGAGACAGTCTGCAAGCTTGTTGTGTACATTGTCATGGCGTGCATGTTCAGCAGCATCTTCTTTATCACCCTAATCAGTGTGGAGCGCTTTCTAGCCATCTGTCACCCTTTCCTGATGATGCGCTGGAAGAGTAAGCGCAACATTAACAGATGCCTTTTGGTATTGTGGCTTTTTGCTTTGCTTCTAGGAGTTCCTGCACTGATCACTCAAACTTTGGATGAAAGGGATGGTGCTAAGCATTGTTTGACCAAGGAATTCACTTCGGACACCCTAACAATCACCTTCTTGTGTTTGGAAACCTTACTGGGCTTTGTCCTTCCTTTAATTACTCTTTGTGTTTGTTACTGTCTTGTAGATGTGCAGCTCAAGAAAATGAGTTTCACCTCAAAACAGAAATCCAAAGTTCTTATTCACACCGTGATGGCTGTTTTTATACTATGCTGGCTGCCTTATCACGTTGTTAACATTATTGATGTGGTGTGTCATCTGTTTTTTGACACACATGAATGTGTGCCAAGGAGTCTTGTCCTTAGCACTGGTGCACTCGTTTTTATTAGCAGTTCAGTGAATCCTGTGTTGTACACTTTCTTCGCCAGGAACATGACAGAAAGTCTCGGCGAGTCTCGTCTGGTCAGGCTGTTCAAGGAAGTGGCCACAAACACAAATAAACTCTGGGAGTGTGCAATGCAACAGCAAAACGACCAGAGGGCAGCAAGTACACAAACAGAGACAATGATGAGTTCGCTGTCTTAACAAAAAAAAAAAAAAAAAAAAATTGTCAGAAGTTGTGTTTATGGAAAAAATATGGCAATGTGAGAGTTTGTTCTGCAGCTACTGGATTAAACTTTAGTTGTGAGTTGAAATGTGATCAAATGGTTGACAGTGATCACGTGGTGCATTTTTTTTTTCATTTCAGATACTGTATGTCCAACAACAAAGACAAACATTGACAATTTTGTGTCTTAAAAGTTTTATGTCTTTTTTTGTGTGTAAAATTCTACATTTTGTATTTGATTATATGTTTCTCAAACCTCATTCAAGACGCATTTGTAATTTTACATGTAGGTAAAATAAAATAAAATAAATACAAAAAAAATAAAATAAAATAAAATAGACATTCTTGAAGTCTGCTGTGAATTGATTTTTTTTTTTTTTAATTTTGACAATAAAATTTAAGGTCAAGGTTCTTTATTGTCATTCACATCACATCACATGTGGTACGTGAGGTGGAACAAAATTGTGTACACAGGGTCCCAGTTACATCCAACAATAGCAAAAATACAAAGTATAAAAATAAACAGTAAATAAGGATTTAAGATATACACTAAGCTATACGCTAAACACTAATAGTGCAAAACAATACACCAAACAACAGCAGCACGAACATGAGTCTTTGTGATGAGTTCAAATGTGATTAAATGATGAGATGAAACGTGATTAAATGGTTAACAATGATAATGTGGTGCAATTTTTTTGTTACATCTACACTTTATTTCAGATACAGTATATCCAATAAAAAAGACAAACATTGACAATTTTGTATCTTAAAAATTTAGTCAATGAGTAATATATATTTTATGTTTGATTTACTGGTCTGCATGTTGATTGTTTCCTCTAAAAAGTACAATAAAATGAATTCAAAGAATGACTCAACTAACAAATCAAGACTGGACATCATGTATAATTAACTATCTTATTCCTACATTGAGTGATTTTCAAAGAAAGTCACATCATTACATTATCGCTCATCATATCTGTAAATAACGATGATAGCTGTGATGTCTTTTCATAGTATGATTTCACAAAATCTCCTTAGTTTACTGTTTTTAACACATTTTCTTCATTTACACAGAAATGATTAAATATAAGGTCATGTTCTTATACATTTAAAAACCTTCAGTTCATCAGCTATAAACTGCTTTTAAGAGTGTTTGACAAACTTTTACAGTTTCCGTCCTTCAGTTTTTTCTTTCTGTCATTTTTAAGGAATTTAAGATGAGCATTTATTTCCTTCTTTTCAATCCAAATTCATGACCTCAGGTTAAAAAAAAAAGTCAAATGACACATGTATGATTCACATCTGCATCACGAAAAGCCCAGTCAGGAAACCCTGTTCCTGTGTAGACTCAGCATAAAGGGGAAGTGAAGACTTTCTTTCTTTCCATCCAGACATCACAGTCAGCACATCCACTTGCAGCATGAACCACTCCGATGAAGAGTCTCTTTCAGCAGAAATGGCCCCTGAGGAGTTTGATGGAGGAACAGTGGTGGCGTGTGTGATCCTGGGTCTGTCTTTTCTGATTGGAGCTCCGGGGAACCTGCTCGTGATCTGGACTATCCTGAAGCATGTTAAGAAGCGCTCCCACACTGTGGTTCTCATCCTCCACCTTGCTGCGGCAGATCTGATGGTTCTCATCACCCTGCCCCTGTGGATCTACTCCCTCGCTCACTCCTGGGTGTTTGGAGAAGCCTGCTGCAAAGCCATGGTGTTCCTGATCAACGCCTGTATGTACAGCAGTGTGTTCTTCATCACCCTCATGAGCGTTGAACGTTTTGTCGCCATGCGCTACCCTTTCATTTCGGCCGTCTGGAAGAGAAAGAAAGCTCTGAATAAACTGCTGTTGGTTTTGTGGATAGCAGCGTTTCTCTTCAGCATACCCATAATCCCAACTCAGATTGTTGGGGAAAACTCTGGTGAGGAGCACTGCTTGTACCGCAGCTATACCTCTGCAACCCAAGAGCTGGTGTGTGTGCTGCTGGAGACAGTGGTGGGCTACTTCTTACCGTTCTCTATCCTCGTGGTGTGCTACGGCTGCCTGTGCAGCCGCATCACCCAGATGACTTTCAGGTCTAAACGAAAATCCACCGTCCTGATAGCCAGCGTAGTCGTTGCGTTTGCCATTTGTTGGACGCCTTATCATTTAGGTAATGTTCTGTCCATCATCATCCTGGCTATTGAAGACTCTTTCAAAGATGCAGCGGAGAAGCTGGAAAATGTCAGAAGCACCACAGCATTCATCGCAGGAGCCATGGTCTTCATCAGCAGCACAATTAACCCAGTCCTCTACATATTCGCGGCCCGCTCTTTCAGGAACTCACTGCGTGACACCGGGATCCAGAAGCTCTTCCACCACATCTCCAGCACCTCCCCAGGAGAGGGTAACAGGGAGGTGTCCTTTGTGTCCAGGAGGCACAGCAGTCAGACTAACAGCTCTACGTGCATGACCGAGTCAAAAGACCAGATGAATATACTGATAAAAATGTGTGAAAGTAACCCAACCCCCGACACTGAAATTGCATGAGGACGTTGGGTGTGCTCTGTATGTGTAGATATTAGTGTTCATACTGTATTCAGTTATTATAAGAAGGGAAATTTGTACAAAAATACTTTTCCATTGAGCATGTTTTCTCTTAATTTATATTTATAAAATGTTAAGTGGTCATGATTTTACTGTATATTTGTTTAAATGCCTTTTACCATAAAACATCAAATGACTGTGTTTGAAATAATAATAATAATAATAATAATAATACTGTATTTTCACATTTTATTCATATTAATAAAGAATAAACATATTGCATTTAAGTCTGTATAACTGAACTTTTTAAGAGGAAAGGACTTTATGATGGTAAGTTTGCATTTAATTTATTTTATCTGTTACATCCCAGTGAAATGGTTATTTATTGGCCCATCCTCTCTTTAGAAACATTCTTCGAGAACATTTTGTTGTTGTCACTTTTTGCATGAGAACTGTGACGTCTTGGTTCATTACTTATGCTACGTTTCAAATAAGTTGAAAAAAAATGATTTGATACATATTTTTTGGTTTGTGACAAATAAGCAAACATTTTACAAAACAATGAACAGTCATCCTTTCAACTTCCTCTCATTTAAAGATTGCCAAATAAAAAACTGCACGTTCCTCATGCTGGCATGCAAAAAAAGGGGAATTGTGCCCTAAAGGATGTCACAACCTTAAATAAACTTACATACATTTTTGGGACAGAGAAAATACAGTGTCCATTTTTTGTTATTTTAAAATTAAATTTTTAAAATATTTATTTGTTTCATAGTCTTCGTGACTTTACAATTTGCTTTCGCCCTACAAATTAATTAACCAGCAGATGGCAGTCAGACAACATATGTTTCTGTTTTTGACTACAATTCTTCATATGTACAATTTTTATTTATTCTGCTAGTTAATTTTTTGTCACCTTTGTTTAATGCATGTGACTGGATATAATGAAAATGTTTTTATTGTACTACCAGTTTAGCAGTCTTGTCACTGAGTATAAAGCAAATGAAGCAAGTCTGCAAAGTGACTGCAAATGTTCTTGTTTGGAAAATGCAAAAATAACAACATATTTTTACCTCAAAAAACAAGTTGCAATTAAAGACCTAACATTTCTTGAAATAAAACCTATCACCACGACTTTCCACATCCGAGTTTTAAACTAGGACCATCTTTTAATTGACTTTTTCATAGTTTTTAATAATGTACACGCTCATAGTCAGTATTTTGCGATGCATTGTGGTCTAGATACATTTATTACTTCTGGTTCTTGCATGTTCTTTCTGTGCATGCATGGGTTTTCAAAATTATTAGAAATTATTCTTAAGGTTGATGTTACATCTTTGCATCCAGGTTGGTCTAAACCAGGACTATTCAACACAACTGTTCATGGGGCCACAGTTTCTGAAAACCAGCAGCTCAGGGGCCGGACATTCAGGGATTAAATCATTATGTAAATAAACCCAGTATTACAATGATCTATTATTACCTTTTAAAATTGTTTATTTTATTGCATTGAATCATAAATTAAATAAACAAAACCCAAACCCCACCACCACCCAAAAAAAAAAAAAAACAAATATATATATATATATATAAATATATATAATTTTTTTTTTTTTATGAAGTCATTGGTGGGTCAGATTGAAGTCATGGCCTGCCAGCAGCCCGTTGAATAGCCCTGGTCTAAACAGTGCTCATTTCTACCTAAGTTTCAGCTGTGCTCTCCAGACATTCATACACTTGTCTGCACATTGAGGACATTTAGCTATCACAGTGTAAAACACCAATAATCTATAATTACATTTGCATATAAAAGTCAGTTATAAACAGGTTTAAAGGAACAAAACATTAGAGTTGGACACTGACCTTGAATACCAGAAAAAGCTAAGACTGTGTTTGATCATGTGGTGGGCGATTTCACTCAGTGTTTGAAAAATCAACTGAGTTAGAGTCTTGGCTGCTTTGGCTAATTTGATAGTCGATTAGCTGTATGTGCCGTGCACACACACACACAGACACAGACACACACACACAGCATGGCATCTTAGTGGTTAGCATTGTTGCCTCATTGCAAGAAACTTGGGGAGTGGTGGCGCAGAGGTTAGAGAAGATGGGCCTGTGATTGGAAAGTCGCAGGTTCAACTCCGTCAACATCAAAATGTGGGTGGAAAGGGTGAAACACCCACACCTGCCTCCACTCTCATTTGCCCCACTCTGGGCCCATGAGCAAGGCCCTTAACCCTCACCACCTGCTCCCAAAAACAGGTCTCTCTTGAAAATGACTTCTTGTGACTCAGTGAGACTACCTGTATAAATAAAGTGTAAATGAAAAAAATATAAAAAATAAGTCCTGGGTTCAGTCCCAACTTTGGGTCTTTCTATGTGAATCTTGCATATTCTCCTGTTTGCGTGAGTTTTCTCTGGGTAGTCCAGTTTCCTCCAAATTATGCATGTTAGGCTGAGTTCAGGCCCAGGCCTCCCTCTCAAAAGAGAACTGTGGGATTTGTCTGGTTAAATTAAGGTTAGTAAATAAATAACGCACACGTATATTGCTAATGCTAGGGCAAATGGACACTCAGACAAAGACACAGGGACAATAAATACACTACATATGCTTTGGTCTTCATGAAACGCTACAATGCTCAAACATGAGTGCAATGTCGCAATGAGTTGACTTTTTAAAGCACACAAGTCACGTCAACTCAGATCTTGTGGGTGAATTGTCATTTTGAATCAGCGTTGTTATAAAATAATTGCATGTTGTGGTAATTATTTTCAAATGAAGAATGATGAACACACCCAATGTGAAGGTTTTGGCCGCCCCAACACACCCACAGAATATCAGCGAGTCGAGAATTTTTTGACAGTGACAGCGGAAAATCACAGCAAAGCAAAGGGCGTGACACAGATGAGATCATACAAGAATATAGATTTTCAGTGTTTTCTCACAAAAGAAAGAAGGGCATTGTCTTTGACTAAAAATTCCCTGACACACATGCATGAACCATCAACAAGATTTGTAACTTTTCAAAACACTTGGAGTCCTTTTTAATGTTTTGTTTGGACATTTTATTATAAAAAGCTGTAGTCCCACTTAACATCAGCATTTAACCGACT